CAGAAACCCATTTATTCCTAACATGCCCCACAATACAGATGGCTAAACGGGCGCTAGAAGAAGAAATCAAGGGAGACAATAAGGCCCTGACTATCGACGAGGTGATAACTCTAAATAAAATACCCAAAAAGACCGAGGCCATAGAGAGAGACAAAAACAATTAACACATACATTCACAATTTGCAATTTTAGATCTTCGCTAAAAAAAAAAAAATTAACACATAAATTTTACTATATCATCCATAGGTTATTTTACATTGTTGATTTCTGAAGACGGAATAATACAATAACTGGAGATCTAAATAAAACACTTCAGGGGATATTTGAGTATTCTGCTAAAACGGAGAGGAGTACGCTCCCTTTACTTTAAGTTATTGGTTTGTTCTGAAAACAGACGGGGTTGTTTATATCGAACTGAAGAATTGAGGGCGGGTGAGTGATATGACCAACGAACTATTCTACGTAACACATAATTCCTTGTAATTTGATTGTAATCAAAGGGAAATGAAAATGTAAATATAAAAAAAAAAAACTTAAATTACCGGTAGCTTCCCTTAAAATGTACGGAGTGGCCTAGCGATATAGAGCTATACTGCTAACCTGAGTTTGAATCCGGGTTGAAGTCAGTAGACTGTCTCTGAGTCTACCCAGCTCTGATTGGTACCTAACTCACGTAGGGGAAAGTACAGGCGGCTAGCTAGGCATAGTGCTGACCACACTATTTCTGCATATGCCGAGGCAAGAGAAACAGGTGAACTCTTCTTTACTTGCACCATAGATCGTCTGGTTTGAAAGTGAATTTAACTTTGCTGTTCCGTTAAACATTTTTAATTATTTTTTTTTGTTACTTAAGTTTTTATTCTGTTCTCAATGTCTCATTCTTTTTTTTTTTATTATTGGCTTGTAGCAAATCCTGTAACTGAGTTTTAAGCTACCCTCAATGAAGCAATTTAAAAAAAAAACTTTCTCTATAGATTCGTCTCCAGATGGTCATTAATAGATGGTCATTAAAATTTATATTAAAGATTACTTAAGTTAGTAATAAACAGGGAGATAACAAAGTTAAAAAATGCTTCAACATCTATTCTACGACAGTTTTCACGGTTGTTGTTTTTTTCTTGACCATCGACCATTGAATAAAAGTAGGCCAGTCAATTGTGTTTAAAACTTATTTATAAAATTTTATGTATATATATATATATATATATTTTTTTTTAAATGTTTAACGTTATCTCAACGCAAGAGCGGGTAAAAGTAATAAAAATAATAAATACCCGTCTACCAGCTCACATTTTCGTTAAGCTTGTTCCTTTACTAGCACGTGTAATTTGGTTAAGCTTTTATTAACACATACATTTTACTATATCATCCATAGGTTATTTTACATCGTTGATTTCTGAAGACGGAAAAAAATCTACAAGAACTGGAGATCTAAATAAAACACTTCAGTCCTAAAGAGGTGCTGTTTGTGGTCATAATGAAGCGAGTATCTGTTACAGATAATACACGAAAATGGTATTACAAAAAACAGCTATAAAATTTCTTGTACCAGCCATATTATTAAAAAAATATAAAAAATAGAACACATTTTCTTTGTTTATTAAAAGAAAGCATTTGTCCGTAATGAAATCTCTCACGTATTTTAGCAGTGTGATTGGAGGGTGTTGAGATGATATATAATATGCATCTCTATTTGTGTACCGTAATGTATACTGTAATACACATTCAGTCCGGGGATCGTACCGTGTTACACTCTTCTTTAAAATGTAGCTAACGCTCGACTTCTATTAGTACTATCTAAATGCAACTAATACTTCCACCCTACACGCTGCCACAAAGGTGTAGCGACCCCTACTGGCGCCCTGGAAAAAAATTTCAATTTGCCGCCCCCCCCCCCCCCCATCCACCCATTCATTTTTTATATTTATAATTCAAAACTGCAGCTAAAATGAGCTTTTATTTTTTTTCAACCCATTTAGAAACCCCTATGGTCGGCGCCCGGGGACGTATGTACCCCCTCCCCGCCCCCCCCCCCCCCCCCCCGTCGGTACGCATTTGCGCTACCATGATCAGCGCTAACACTATCTACATTTTAACTTTCTACATCTTTCCTCTCTAACTGCTGGCCCACGCATCAGTGGTCATCTGTCCGTCTCACGTGACCGGTCAGCTCCTGCAGTTCTATTGGTCTACAATATGCTCTGTTTCTGCTTTCTTCTGCTTGACCTCTATGACGTATAATTTGCGTCATCATACGCTGTCTACGCTTGTGTTGGTTTAAGGGCGTAGGCTCCGGGGAAAAAAACGGGGGAAAAAACGTTTTAATTACTAAGCCTTTTTTTTATTTATTTGGGTATTTATAAGTTAGGGTACTTAAAGGAAAATATTTGCATGGGCTCTACTGAAAATATGGTTGCCATAGCAACGGCGGCCATCTTTGAAAAATTACCTGTTGTGGAGCTCTAAATTTTCATAGAGTAACATATAAACCGCCCATATAATCATTGATCCTTCTTGTACTAACACTAATAGAGTCAGCTGGCTAGTTTTTGTAACAAAAAAAAAAGTTGAAATATTTTTTCACATTTTGTGGTGAAAAACCATTAAATTTAGCATTAATTTGGATGAAATTTCACCATATTAAATAAAAATAATTTCTAGAGTGTTTCCTGTTACAAACTCTAGCTAACTGACTCTATTAATGTTAGTACAAGAAGAATCAATGGTTATATAGCCGATATCTTTATGTTAGTTTATGAAATTTTACAACTCCATTAAATGATGTTTTTTTCAAGATGGCCGCCGTTGCCATAGCAACCACATTTTCAAAGAGTCCCTGATGCTTGCAAATATTTTCCTTTAAGTCCCCAACTTAGATATCCACAAATAAAATAATAAAACGTTTTATTAAGAATTTTTTTTTCTGGAGCCTACCCCATTAAATAAGATCAAGGATAGAGACGTAGCAGTAGAACAGCGATGTCAGATTGTAGAGCGAATGACTGTTAACCCCTTTAGCCTTTAGGTCATGACTCACAGTAAGGAAGTAGAGGCTGTAAGCATGAGATTAATCACTCTGTTCCTTCATATGCCGAGGTCCTGGTTCGAAAAGTGAAACTTTACCTTTTTTTTTTACTTTACAAACACTGAGTATTAATTTGCACTGATGATACGTAGTGCTTCGTACAGAGTGCTTAAAATATGCAGTGAACAAGTACAAAATACAAGCGTGACATTATTGTTATACGTTAATTTAATATGAAGAAATTGAAAGTTTTCAAGTTGTCGGCATTTGGCTGCTAAGAGCTTGATTTGCTTATATATTGATGTTAGTTCTTGAAAGAGTTTTTAGTTCAGTGTGGGTTAGACAATAGTGGTCATGCGATTCATTAATTTGTAATGGAGAAAATATGTCGGAATCATTTTGTCGGGTGCCCATATATTGGGAGCCTATTTGTCTGGAGTCAGTTTGTCGTGAGCCCATTTGTCGTAAGCCCATATGTCAGGAGACTATGTCGTGAGCCTATATATCGTAAGTCAATAAGACGGAACAAATATGTCGGGCCTTTTCGATGGGTCAATTTTGACTGGGTCGTTTTGTCCAGAGTTTCTTCCAGGCATCTCTTTCGGAGAAAGTCTATTCGTTCGGGGGGGGGGGGGGGGGGGGGGAAGGGTAGACTTTCTCCTATGCCTGGAATAAACAGTGCCTGTCGCCATAGCACCCGACTCTGGCGGTTTCGGTGTTCCGCGCAAAAGAAAGTTCATAAAGCATCAGCACTTCTAGCGACGGAACAATCGGAAGTTATATTATAACAATACAAACGTCTCCCACCGGATATTTAAGTGTGTTTCCCTGAATGTTACAAGCCCCCCCCCCCCCCCAACACACACACACACATTTCTTAGAAAAATATCTTTTAGAAACATGTTGACGAGTCTTAAAATACTATGCTTTAACAACACATATAAAACTGACCGTAAGTTAATGAGTGTCTCAAATTTATAGTTTCTGAAAGTTGATTTTGGAAGCTGTTTAATTTTTTTTTAAACTAGCCTCTGATAAAGGCGCAGTACCAGGGGGAACGGCCTCGAAAAACCCCAGAAATCCCCCCCCCTCCCTCCGCGACATAAACCCCCTAGATAATAACCCCCCCCCCCCCCCCCCCCGAGTCTGTCTCCCCCCCCCCCCTGAAATGAGTAGACCTACAAGAACATGATACACCAACTAACCACCTCTGCCCCCCCCCCACCCCCTCGCCACCCAAACATTTTGTGTTCACGGTCCCTTACCACCTGCTATAATTGAGTATAATGTCATTTCATTACTGGAAACAACAAATCTAAGGACAACCCCGAGGCTTTCGTTAATAAATTAAGAAAACCTATGAAGATAAAACGTTAAGCCTAAATTAGGAGAACGAAATATTATTATTCTCAGATGGGGGTGGATCAGAAAAGGAAACTCGAATTTGTGAATTTGAAATTTGTTCCTATAGTTAGGCCTACATTATTTAATTAACTGATAGATCTAGGCCGGCACATTAATATAAATAAGTACAACGTTTATTGATTTATTTTTTTTGCTGGTGGGAATATCTTTTCTTTTACACTAATACCATTAATTAGATAGAGCAATAAAAATAACAATTAATAAGAACAATAGGGCTGTGTCAGGGATTGTTCTTGATCCGGTAAGACTTGGGCTACTTGCACTTAGATCTGGTAGGCAACAGACAGAGAAAAGCTTTATGAATATAATGATATAATTGTAATATTGTTCGTAGCCTATCCTACAGCACGTACGTTTATTAAAAAGTCGGTTATTCGGATTATAATACGCTTTTAAAATCAACATCATTTTTTTTTTCAAGCATCTGCCTAAGGCCTAACGAAGGCTACAACTGACTACAAGTGTACACAAATTAAGTTGCGAAAAACAATTAAACTTCGTTGACTCTTCTCGTAATAAAATCAGAATTCTAAGAAGTTCTGACGTCACCAGAAGCTTGTTTGTAAAATGGCTTCCTGTTGCAAATCGTGAAGTAAACTTCTGTTCTTATTTCCGCTTATTCCTATACACTGTTATTAAGTGCTTTCGGAAGCCACTTATCAGTCTGACCTAAATTGTGGTTTATTCCTGCTCATGTTCGTACGCGAATGAAAATACATGCGACGGGAGTGTGTTCGCTAATGAGAAGTTGATGCAAAACGAGGCAGAGAAGGACGAAGAAATCGTCAACGACGTTGAGTCTCTGCAAAAGGTTGACGACGAAAGTCAGAAACATTTACCTTCAGAGATACCCGTTGAAGTTGAAACAGATTATACCAGAAGAGTAATGGAGGATCTAGGTAATGCATGTTAAATATTATTTAAATTATGATTAGACCAGTTTACTAGGCCAAAATTGAGCAAGCAAGTTAGCAAGATCATAGCATCAAGTCTGTCATCAAGATCATCAGAACTGATGAACAGTTACTGATGTTTAATTTAAAATTTAAAGTTAAATGATGTAGGCCTAATCTAGATCTAGAGTTTAGTTTGTAGAGTAGAATCGAGATTTAGATCTAGCTCTTTTACTTTTTGCTCTTGTTTGTTGATTAATTAGGTTTAAATTACTAGTGTCTAGTGTTTAGTAGGCCTAGGCCTAATATTAATTATAATTATTTAGGCCTAAGCTTTAATTTTTTAATCCTCGTAAAATGAAATACTTAGTCCTACTAAAATTTAGGCCTAATTAGTCACCTTTCTCTCACATTATTAGCTTCAGCCGATTTATCCTCATCTTTAAAAAAAAATCGTTGGTCATGGTCCTAGACTAATTTTTAAATTACTGATCTGAGAATTCAGTGAATAGGCTAATTCAGGGGTCGGCAACCTTTTGAAGCAGAAGAGCCAAAAGTTACAAGTTTCAAAATTTCCCTGGTTTTAAAGAGCCACTAACATTTTTTTATTTAAAATATTTTATTTTTTTATTAAGATTATTAGTATTTGCGCAAGGAGCTGGAGAGCCGCATCTTGATATCAAAAGAGCCACATGCGGCTCGCGAGCCGCAGGTTGCCGACCCCTGGGCTAATTTCATTCTTGTTGGTTCTAATTGCTATGCCTTCATCTTATGACACATCAGCTTTTTTATTATTTTACTTTACAAGACTAGCTAACTTGTAAAATAAATAGTAAACTACATGTAATAGTAGGCCTTTGTGTGTATGGAGTATGGTGACAAATAAGCTACTAGAATCTAGATCGGTAGGCTACAGTTAGTTAAATATGTAGGCTTACCTTCCTACCTGTTTTTTGTTAAACTGAATTAAAAGTTTAACTGTAGGCATAGTATCTAGAAAGTTTAGACCTTAGCCTATATGATTTCTTTTTAGAACTTAAACTTGACCACAGTTTACTTTAGAATTTACTCAGAGTTTGTTTATTGTAAACTAGGGTAAACATACTTGTGCTAATTATTCTTTTTATTAAAAAAAAACCAAACTAAGTTAGAACTAGATCTTGTGGTAATTCGTAGTTGGATGATGATGTTGTGGGATGAATTATTGATGATTAGGAAACAAATGCCAGAAATGATACTGATTGTGTTTTGTTTCAATAATACATGCACACTCATTTATGATGTTAGGTGGGGTTTTGTAGGTGGTTGAACCAGTAATGTTTTGTTGTATAAATATCAGGAAATACTACAACTTCATATATGTATTGGCACCTTGTTTATTATGTAGGCTTTGTAGCGCTCAACTGCTACTAAAATTAATGATCTCTAATGATTGCGTAAAAAAATTAAATTTTATGCTAACCTGATAGACTATTGTATTTGGATATTAAAATTATATTAGAAAATATGGTTTGTCTAAATGCAATAACTACAGTGGAGTTGTAAAGTATCCTTAAGTTGACCAAGTGTCAAAATACGGATTTATCTTTATCGTGTGTTATATATCTAAAAATAGTACTAATGGGGTATAGTTATCACTTCTTTTACCTCCTACGACTTGACAGGTGTCCCTTGCCTGCAAGATTAGATGTTTTTTTACAAGCTTTAAGACAATTAAATCTTTGCAGCAACCATAAAATTTTGTTGACTAGTCTTTTCCAATCCATGTTTGCTTTAGCCCAGCAACCCTGACTGTTTCTCTGATATTAAATTACCTTTGAGAGCTTTTCTAAATAAAACCCTGCGCAGCATCATGTGATCATTGTTCCATATTGATAGGGCATCATAATTTTGCATCTGATAGAATACTCTTATCAGTCAAATAAAGATTTCTCAAGTTACTTTTTGGTAAAAGTAAATATTTTTAGGATTAATATAAAATAATCTTTTAAAACCCAAGGTATCAAATTATTGTTTTGTATTATATTTACATCATTTTATAGTAACAATATCAAGGTGTTGACATTATTTGTGGCAACCTCTGCTATAATATATTCATTTCACTGATTCTGATGAAAGTAAAGTAAAATCTTATCAAATTAAGTTTTACTTTTAAATTTAAAAATTTTTAACAACTACAGTTCATATCTTGCTGTCTGTTGTGTTACTACATCTAATTGGGCCATCAGTTTGTGTAAGTTCTACAATATAAACAACAGTTGATTGGTTATTTTAGAATATCACCTTGATTTTAATTGCCAGTACAGTTATGTATTGAGTCATCTCATTGACAGTTTGGTTTTTTGTTTTAGATATTTTAATTGATTGATATAACATTTTAAAATGACTTGGTTTATCTACTACATGCTTAAAGAATAGATATATGATCAGTATTTAGCCATAATAAAAGGACAAAACATTAAATCTTGTGGGAGGGGGGGAGGAATACAAACTGACCCTGTGGCAAGTTGTATTGGGATTGAATTCAGCTAATACGAGTACCCAACATTAATTGGTGGAGAAGTAAAGCTGGCATAGCTTATTATTGTGGGCACACTCACATAGCTGGCTGAGTCAAAAGCTAGATTTGTCCTATGTATCCTTCCTGCTCTGTATATCCCTTTCTGCTCATTGTATTCAGTATTTCTCTCTTATATTTTGCTTAGTCTTGAAACTTTACTGTAACTACTTCAGTAAAAGGCTGCTTTGCTACATTTGATTTTAGCAAATTAGCTTGGGTCTTGGTAGATCAAATTAAACAAATTGTTACATTGATACTTTAGAGTAATTAAAACCCTATCAAACCACTTACATGTTTGATTCACTAATTGTAGATTGTAAGCACTTTGTATACACTTTCACACTAATATTAGTGTTCATGGATTACTTTGGTTAATTAACTGATTTTAAGCGCATTCTTACATTTTTTCATGAAAAATAATCGTTTTTTTCCCACTTATATTTGTATTTTATTGAAGTAGTAATAGTGAATCTGTAATCTCGTGTTGAGGAACGGCGTGGTTGACTTGAGTGGTAGAGTTCATGATTACTGTGTCTGATATGTACTTGTCTTAGTTCTCTCATTACATGATTAGGTTAGAGATACAGATCAGTTCTTCTTCATCTATTCCATAACAGTTGATCAGACTGAATGGGGTAGATTCATATCTTTATTATAACATTTTAATGGTATACCATTTAGCTATGCGGGGAGTGTGAATGAATGCAGCTGTCTTTTAACTTATTCCAGTCTCAGAGTAATTCCAGATTAAATAAACATTTCACAGACCATTATTTTATTTTTATGAACACATAATAATAATAGATTCTATCTCCCTGGTAAAATTGCAAAGAATGACATTTAGTGGGATAGAACTTTGACCCAATTTAAAAAAAAACAACACAATCCTTCCCATACACACTGGTACAGCTCAGTACAGATGTCTGTAAAAAAAATTATGTGATTAAGTGTTTAAATAGATATGTAGCTCCACTGACATTGTTTACATTCAAATATCTGTGGAATGATACAGTGGTGGTTGTAAAATCATGCTTTTGCAAACCATGTTTATAAACTTATAGAAGTCAACTTTCAGGATACTTTAAATGAGGATCACATGAATTATAGCTGTCTTGTAATACTTTTATAATGGTTACCATTTCTGTCTGGGTTCAGGTGTAGTTGGGGAGGGGGGGATCACTGTACTCAAGCCATCAATCACTTGACCAAGCAGCCATGACCTGTAAAGTCCCACTGTATCAATGTAGGCTACCTTTCTGTGTGTGGTGGTCAAACATGGTAGACATTGTCTATCTCAACAAGGCTGGCCTAGAAATAGCCAGAACACTTGTATGGGCTGTATACTTTTTCTGTATCAAAAAGGGAGGCTTAGAAATAGCCATAACTCTTGTTTGGGCTATTATAGCCTTTGTCTCAACAAGGCTAACCTATAAATAGCTGTAACACTTGTATGATCTGTAGACTTTGTCTGCACAGAGCAGGCCTAGATATAGCCATAACACTCTTATGAGCCCTTTGAGCTCTGACCTGTCTGTAGCCAGACATTTGACACAATCAGCTGTTTGTTTGTCCATCTTAATGTTACCTGTGTCTGAGCTGGTCTGTTTATCATCCACTAGACTCAGCTGTTTCAGGGTTTATGGCAGGCATCAGAAGTGTAGCATTTCATAGGAGGCTGCTTCAAGATACATACATTATACTGGTTGAAATATACTACCAATATAGTAATATATAGCCATAACCCAGTTGGTATATCTTTACAAAGCTCCCTGTTGGTATGTCTTTACATAGACTATTGTGGTATTTCTTTACAAAGACTTTATTTATTTCTTTACACAGACTATTTGTGGTATGTATCGTTAGGGTAAAACATCAATTGTAATACATATGAAACAGAACCCAGTTGGTATATCTTTACCTAAAGTTCATTTGATATGTCTCTACTTTACCCATTAGGTATGTCATTTCATGCCCCTCCCCATTGATCTGCTTTACCTGTTTGGTCTCAATACAAGCAATGCTAATGACAAATCTCATGTATAGTAGCTAGTGCTGACATTCAGACAAGACTAGCTGTACCACCAGTTCAGTGTGGTCTCTATACAAGCAATGGTATAACAAATCCCACCTGTAGTAGCTAGTGCCGACATTTAGACAAGACTAGCCATACCACCAGTTTAGTGCTGTCTATATACAAGCAATGGTACGACAAATCCCACCTGTAGTAGCTAGTGCTGAGATTCAGACAAGACTAGCCATACCACCAATCCAGCCCACCTAGACTGAAAGAATTCATGTCCTCACTTTACAACCTACCTCTATGTAGGCCACCTGTACGTTACGTCACCTATACGTCTGTCCTCTGTTATCTGGTGATTGAATCTGGAACTCATTTAGCGACTCATTTGCAGCCAAATATTTTTTAAAAGGCCTAGTGGATATATCT